TCAATTCTTTAAATTCTTGCCCTGAACTTTTCAATTTCTATACAGTATAATTATTCTAAAAATACCTTGACTGAGCTACATTTTCTCCTGCTGTTATTCTGCCAATATAATTGCCTGAAAAGGCTAGGGTTTTAAAATTCATTTTCAAGTTGCCTTTTCCCCTTTTCATGTATAAAGGCTGTCCCTTCATTTCTCTGCTTTATTTTTCTCTCACATGTTTGTGAACAATCACTTCTGCTTCAGTCAAGCTTATAGTAACAAGCACTGAGCCAAGATATATTTGTCTTGGGTCATGCAAACAGGGCCTATGTGGCCTACCTTTAGGCTGGGGCAGGATGAAAGGGCCACCAGGCCTCCTCACGGTTTGGTGACAGCTCCACTAATCCTCCCTTCGTTTGGAAACAATTACAAAAAGTCACCTGAAAGCATCTACAAACAAGCCTCTCTCCAAAAGCCAAGAGAGAACTTTACCTCGAACATTCACTACTGGTTTTCTAATGTCACTTACACTGGTGGGAATTCAGAGTGCTCTCACCTAGAGAAATCGCTTAGGACTTACTCTAATGAGGGCATGACTTTGCTTCCTTGTAGCTAAACCAGACTAGACAATAGCTTATGCATGGCCAGTGGTACACAGAAAAGCAAATTATTCATATAAGGTTTTGTTTTTTTTTTTTGGTTAAAGAGAGATACAAATAATGCTTCTGTGATTTCACTTTTACTCTGTCTATAGGATAGAATTCACCTTTCTCCCATGCTGCTTTTTACCAGGTCCATACATAATATAAAAGTTAACCTAAGTCCTTCTAAAGGCTGGAGCTGGTAGCTAAATCCTATGACAGCCCTCTTCATTTAGGTGAATTTTATGCCTTCTAGAAAAAAAAAAAGCTTAAAGTAATTTTAAGAATGGACAAAATTGTAGTTTATAAAAGCAATATCTACCCAGACAGTAAAGCAAGACAGAAACAAACTTTGCCTTAAAGCTACTTTTAATGGTGGTGGCTTCCAAGTAACCCTTCCCATAAACCGATACAAAAATATGAAGTAGGCCAGGCCCCTCTGCCATTAATCTCAGCAGTTCCCTAAGAATTACTGAGTTTCAGCTTCACTGAAAGAAAAAGCAGAGTAAAACATACTTACCCAGGCTCTTTTCCAGCCTATAGCCAAATGATACTATTTAAATATTTTTAAAGTACACATGTACAATAGGTCAAAGACAAGAATTAAAGTCAGTCAAAATGAAGCTCTAACAAGTCCTAAACTCCAATGCTAAACCCTACTGTGATCTCAAGTAACTGTTCATTTCTTTACCAACCAAGGCTTGCTGTTGCTCACATGGAGCAATGGCTGAGATAACTGACTACAAGATAGGAAAATAGGATTTTAGAGTGCTACTCAGTGGAGGCAGAGATGACACTAAGGTAGAGGGTGGACATCAAGAGAAGGTGACAGGCATTGCCCTTTCCCTTATCGGCAGGCACCCACTTTCCAGTAGTTGAGGCAGTGCTTTGCCCCAAAGTGCCCTGCTGGTGCGGCACTGGCGGCTCAGACAAGGGTGCAAGCAGCCAGTGGAGCAGTGGGATGGCTGGGGGATTCTCCACACCAGGTGCCACAACAGAGGTGACCCTGCCACATGGGACTACCGCTGGGAGGGGGTGTAAGCAACGCACAGCTGTTGTGCGGTGATGACACTTCTTTCCAGCCCTGGAGGTGCTAAAGGGAAGCCCTGGCACTACAGGGAAGGTAGTAGTGAGGTGAGTTGTCAGCGTCACAGCTGAGAAACAGCAAATGGCAAGTGTGAACTAATGGGAGAGCTTAAGTCTCTTTTCACCACCTTCCTTGTCCCTTCTCTCTGCACCAGGCAAACCCACACCTGACAATGATCTTTCATATTCAGTTTAACAGCAGGGACCTGCACGACTTCAGGGCTATCGGGGCTTCACTTGTAGGGTACACACAGCACATTTCTCTCCTGTCTAACTGGGAGGAATGAGGTTGGGTCTTAAGCATGGGCAACAGGCTGAAGCTCTCTTCTGATCAAAAGAGAAGCGGTCATCATACCAGACGAACCAGCTCTTCATCACCTCACATTTCGGGCCCACTTCAAAGCCCAAGCCTTTCTGTTTAAATCCCTTAGCTAAAATTTAGTGTGCCACCTGCATTCTTAAAGACTGTGCTGCCTTAACAATGACAGCAGCTGAAAGAGACCCAAGGGAAGTCTGCCTGGAAATGACTGGCTGTTAGCAAGCACGCTCTTCAATGCAGAAATGGTGCTATCTCACCAGTTTCAGGGTGCTGTGGGACTGCTACCACTCTGTGGGAGAATAATTTGGAGGCTTCGCTCTTCAGGCAGAACAGCAACTTTATAGAAAAGCTATTCACTTGCTGATTTTGTTACTGTCACCTAGATAAAAGTGATGAATACATCAGAAATTGGGAGAGGGGAAAAAGTTGTTCTGATGAGTAGTATTATAGTGTTTGATTTCAGTTCTGAGAAGAGAACAAAAGCTGTATCACGTCAGAATATCAAATGTTGTCTCTCTCATGGCATGGAGACAGATAAAAATATTTTAAAAGTTAAAATCAAAAGCAACTAAAGATGGTTAAAGTTCTGTCTCAAAACATTTCCTAACCCATGGTTTTTTTTCCCCTCTCAAACCAAATGAACTTATTTGAAGGAAAATTCATTTCTGCTTCCTGTTTCTTTCCATACCTCGTCACTGGAATCAGGAAAAAAAAAAAAAAGGAAGAAAGAAACAGTGGGAGTGAGAGAGAAAAATCTCAGCTTCTCTTACCACAAAATGGCCTTAGCAGACCAGATATACTAGCCCTCAGCTTCTTCATTTACAAAACTACTTTACCTTGCACTAACATTGAAGGAGTCACCACTGATGAATTCTGGCAAAGTTGTCCAAAGGTTAAAAGTAGTCTACAAACACTCTGTGTACCTAAAAATAAAACTTTAAGCCCCATAATCAAATAGAAAGGATGAAACTGTTGACTTCATATCCTGTAATTCCCAAACAAAAAGCATGTAACTTTTCTCGTCTTTCAAATTGTTTCACTGTCTAGATTATAGTTTGACAGCTAGGCTCTAAACTTGCAGAACACATTGAGTAGAAAAACTAGCAAATATAGCAATTTATATAGCAAATTATATGTCCAAATCAGATAAATTCAAGCACAGGATGACTAGCTGTGTATGTGCATGCAGCAAAAAATCTGGATTTAAGATAACAGTATTTAATTTGGCCAGAAGGGACTGAAGCCCACCACATTTTTCATCCCTGTAGTAAGAGCATTCTATTTTTGTCCCTTGCAATATAGATTAACTTAGTGTGTTCAACATGTGAAATACCTTTTGGACAGAACTGACTTTATTAATTAAAAGACAGATGGATGGAACCATTGAGTTCATAATCATAAGACCATGTTTGACTTCTCTCTAGAGCATGCAGTACTTATGACAAGAATGCAAACCGCAAATTAAATTCTCAGTTATCCTCAGCAACCTGACAGACTGGCCCAAGAAATACTGCTAAGTCTAGCAGATTGGAAGAGCGATGTGTTCATTGCACAGAGGTGTGAAGAACGCAGCCCACCCCAGCTCATCTCACAGGGCGCAGCTGGTGAACTGTACACAAAGAGGGGAAACAAGTGGATTGAGGGGAGGAGGTGAGAAGGGGCCTGGGGTAAAATTGGAGATATTTTTGCCTTCCTTCATGCCCTTCTGCTGTTTCAGCCAACCAGTTTTCATTGCCAACTTATCTGAAAAGTATTTTCTATCCAAATCATTTTCTGTGAACAGTAGAATCAATCTCTCCAATTAATATAACTGGAACTAGGAGTACTACTGAGCATCCCGAAGACTTCACACATTGTTCATCACTCCTCTTTAAACATGCTCTTTTTGCAACATCAGGCCTTGGACGGTTTGTGCTTAAGTTCTCATTCAAAAGACTAACAATAAGTAGCAAGGCAGCCATACCAATAAAGCTGCTTCTGAGCATTTACACCCCCTCCCTCCCTGTGTCACTCCTCTCCTATTTATATCCCCTCAAACTCTCCTTGCCCGAAGACCACCTAGTTTTTGTGTGGAGGACAGAAAACCTAGATACCTTCACAAAGCTATTCTTTAGCTCTGCCCTTACTTCCGCCTAACAGCAGCGGCAGGTTCCTGAATCTGATACAGCACTTTTCTAGCCTGAAAGCACCACCTGAATGTTAATATTTTTGTCCTCTAACTCTTGACAGTTCCTCCCTTTTCCACCATAAGGCAGTGTTATTCCTGTGGTATAAAGCTGGACATGACTTGACTCTCAAACTAGCAGTAAAATAGAAGGACCATCACAGGCCCTTAGAAGAAAAGGTAAGGGTGTTAACTCTTGTTCTCCATAACTAGGTAGTTACAATAACAGAGGTCCAAATGCAATATGCACCTCTTCCTGCTCAACAAGCATGACCTCGTACAACTCCCAGCTGACAAAACCAGTGGCTGCAGTAACCCTCTACTGCTCCAGGGCAGACGCATCACAGAGGCTCAGGAAAAGGCAGATGAGCAAGTTTCTCACGTCCACGTTTAAAGCAGGCAGCCATAGCGGTTAGGAACAGTGCAGGGAGGGCAGGGAACAATCCAATCACTACTGGGCACAAAAACGCTAGCAAAACCCCAGTGAAGCTATTGCTTGATAGGCAAAAATACTGCTCTACTGGGAGAACTTTCTGTTTTCAGGAAATACGCATCAGCAGAAGAATTTTGGCCTGTATAAGCAACAGCTTTACCTGAAGTACAGAGATCTTTGACACAGACTGAGCAGACCCCCTGAGGCACTGGGTCACCTGCCAGAGCAGACTGGCTCACAGCACGTGCTTCCACTATTCTCCTGTGCCAAGCAAAGCTTAGATGCAAGGAGAAGCAGCCTTGGATGACTTAATCTCAGTCTGAGTAGCACTGTTTGAAAGCACAAGCATTTTGTTTAAGTATAACATAAATTGCTTACTTCTTTCAGCTTCCCATATCTTTGGCTTAGAAAAACATCAGTTGGCTGTGCTGTACTGGTTCTTACAGGGACACGGGAAGGCAAACTTTTGGAAGCAATCACTGTAAAGTCAAAACAAAACCATAACCAAACCTTCATTGTTGATTTGTGACAGGAATAACAATGGTTTAGCTATAAGAGAGTTTTCTAACTCAGGTACCCAGTCTTCAGACTGGTATTTATCACCTTTTTTTTTTTAATTTCTTAATATCATAGTACTCACAGATTTGTATAAGACAAGAGACTCTTCAAACTATAAACAGAGTATAAGTGCAGAGTAATCTGTGCTCAAGATCTAGAAGGCGACTGAGACATCTCTGTATAAATCAAGGGATCAGTCTTCATCAACTACTGATTTTCCCTTAATTCATAGATGTGGCTGTCTTGATTTTACAGGCAAGTTTAGATTAACGGAATAGGTACAGTGAACAAAGTACACATCTGCAGGATTGTGGCACAAATTAAGGCACAAAACAACATATGAGTGTAAAATAAATAGGGAAGTGGTTAAGAGAGTCACAGTAACAAAGACTGAGAATACAATCTACACATTTCAATCACTTTTAAGAGGATCAGAAGGAGTAAGCCATATTTAAGTGATCACGACAACCACGAGTCAAGGTATTTCTCATCCTAACCTAGTAAAGATTATTATACTTAACCACTTTCCTACTGTATTAGATTCAGTCATGAAAAGAACTTTTTCAAAATACATGTTACGCAAACCAAGCAGACTTTCCACACACTCTGGCATACAGACTTCTCGCTTATTAAAAGAATCCAAAGAAGATTACTTTGAATTTTGGCGTTTCATATCTCTACTCTTCCGTTTTCTGGAGCCTGAGATACTTTTTGCTTAACAAGCATAAATAATGTGATAAATTGCAGCATCAATCTGAAGGGATAATATCATGTTGCGGGGTTTGATTCTCATGTGACAAAGACGAGCACTGTTGCATTCATTTTAATAAGTTACACCCTTCTACATCACTTAAAAGTCTGGCTTCTTCTCTTGCTGCTGCTTTTTTTTTTTTTTTTTAAAAAGCTAAACTGCGTATATATTCAGATATGACCAAATGTGTAAGAAACCCAACTTTTTGATTTTATGTCCTCAAGTTTTCCTTTGAGCTGTGAACTGTGACAGCTCTGGGGAATCAGAGTCCAAAAGTCTTCACAGTCCTGTTGGTTCTTTAAGACCCCACGCTTAATCAGTTCATTCTGTAGTCCTACAATCTAGAAGAGAGAGAAAATAAAAATACTAAATTATTTAATACTCAAAAAAAAAAAAAGCAAATAGCTTGGTAAATGCCTAGAGATGTGTTAGAAACATACTGGGGAATAATACCCTAAAATAAACTTAGCCTCTCCTTCAAGATGAGGCAAAACCTGTTAACTCCCATCTCCAGTGTTTTTGTCGCTGTTTTGGTTTTGTTTTTTGTTCTTTTAGTCACTATCCCTCTTCGAAGGGGAAAGCATCGTAGGTACCTCTTTTTTCTTATAGAAAAAAACATCCCTTTCATGTCCCTTCTGGAACTATGAAAAGGGCTCCCATCTTAGTTAGATGTGCCTTCCCTGAGGTCAGGCTGCAAAGCAGAAATCTGCCTCGTTGCCTGTCGAGAGTATTGTTAGAACCAGCTTCCCTCCCTTACTCTACCACCCAGACAAGCATAGGATAAATACTTAGATCTTGATATCTAAATCCCAGTCTTCTACACTAGATGAAATTTCCTTCAGCTCTAAGCAGTTCCTAGAATCCGTGCCTGATAAAGGAGAACTCCAAATGGCATTATCTGGAATGATAACACTGTATTATCATGAAATAATTACTCTGCGGACAGTGCACTGCAAAGCGAATGAGCAAAACTCGTACAGAAACAGTACGTATATGAAACACAGCTGAAATAAATTGAATTCCTTGATCACCATTAAATGTTATGTCTTAGATTTACTAAAAATTGCTTCAAGAATCCTCCAACTACATACAGCACTTCCTCGCTTCTTACTGACCCAAGTCAAGTATTGTTATGTTTGAAACCAAAGGTTGTAATAACTGACTGTGCATAAAGGGATGTTAGAGGGGTGTAGCTGTTTTCCTTCTAAAATAAGTGATTCAATCAAAAACAAACAAACAAAAATTTAGGATGACAATGTCTGCCTTTATTCCAAAAGGAAATATTCTTTCACTTTCACGACAGGTCCATTTCTCAGAGAAACAGACCACAGAAAAACCAAGGTTTTCCAAGACAAAATATGCTATATTTTGTTGAAACCTGCTCCCAAATTCAGTCTGGTTTGCCTCTGAGAACATCTCGAACACTGACAAATCTAACACGTTATAGTACAGAAGTTGTTTTCAAACCAACTTTATCACTAACAAACTGATTCAACTCTTTGCAATTATATTATGTTTCCATACATAAGCTGTGTACACATATGGAGCGATTGCAAAAATCTAGAAGCTTTTTCCAACACAGATATGCAGATAAAGAATCAGTTGCTAAAGTGAGATACAGGTATTTTTTCCTCAGAAGTCTGAGTTGCTCTTTAGGGTTATCGAAATTAAACTTCCTTCAACATCATCCCCAACATCCCCTCCTTCCCCCCCCCCCCCCCCAACAAAACCCAAAAAAACAAAAAA